AACCCGGTGATAACGATTGTATAGTTTGATCTACCGAGCGAGGTTAACCCTTTACACCCTAACATTACTATGCATATCTCCATACTATTCTCTTTACATTTGCCAATGTGTTGACGAAGAGAATAGCTCTTTTCGCTGTTAATTGCCCGCTGAAGTTAGTATCGCGGGCAGGCGCGAAAGCGAGGCAATTTCGGGTTAATACCGTTAAAAGCACGAAGAAAAAACGTGCAAGTCAAATAGCAAAAATCATTTGTAGTTATTTTACGGTCGGTTTATTTCATTTCTCATGTAAAACAATTTCGTCTGTAAAGACGTGGAAGTATCGCTCCGTGTTTGGCTCTGACAACAACGAAAGGAAAAATCGCGTGCGTGCAAGGCTGCAAAAAGCAGAATTACCAAATATTTTGTTCTTCCCCTTCCTAAAAGAAGCAGAATTACAGAGGAAGTGGTTTAAATTTTTAAGGAGGGAAGAAATCAAAAGCGTAAGGCAAATTACATCGAATCACATGATTTGTTCAATTCATTCTAAAGGAGGAGTGGGATATCGTAGGGCAGATCCAGTTCCAACCATGTATAATGATCGTGCGATGGCGCTTCGCTTCAACATGACTACAACAAGGCGTAAAGCGCTTCGTACAGTTTATAGCCCTGTGAGCCTTTGTAAGCTTTTTATCTATCGTGATCATAGCCACCCTTCATAATCATGTGGTTGTTTAGATCTGCGTAGGTAAACGTTAGAGCATTTAAAGAATCCTACGACTATCCCTGTTTGATCGATGATACTAGTGGCGGACGGCCTTAATCTGGCGTATCGTGTTTAGATAAAATAGGCTCTGACGTATCCTCTCTATCCACAGAAATTTCTTGCAGGCGTAATTTCCAGGCTTGGAATGCGAGATTTGAGAGTTGTTCTTTGTTGTGCGCTTTGCCCAGATCACTTGTTTGGACGCCGTGTAGTGCTAAATCTTTTCTTAAAACAACTCCTTTCTGTCAGCTAAAGTAATTCCTATCGATTTCCTCGAACGATTTTTCTTCGAGATTCCGCATAAATGCGCCAAAGCCATCGTTAGAGGCCGAATCAGAAGTCTGTACAGAAGAACATGAGGCCGCCATTTCTTTCTGGCCCTAATTTGCGTCGACTTTGTGTTGGTCTACAGTATTGTATTTAGCGGTGTAGCGAACCGCGAAAAGAGCCATTTGTTTGACAATCAAGACCTTTAATTGGTCATAGTTTTCTTTACTCTCGTGACCTTAATGTGTGATTCGGGCGTGAGTTCTAAGGAGAAATTAAATGCTTGTCACTTTCAGTGGTCAAAGGGCTAAGTATGAAAAAGGACTGTTGCTTGCAATAATGAGTCTGACAACAGTTGCACAACCACAAATGCTAAGAATTATAGTAGTGTCAAATAAGTACCTACTATTCCTTCTCCGTCTGTTGCAGACGGCATATTTTGAAATAGACATTAGATTTGACAATCGCTTTCAAAAACCATGGATTGGTCGCTGGCCTAGTTCACTGGATTTTATCAATTTTAAATACAAATGAAAAGTTAATTTGGTAGTACTGGCTGTATGATAACCAGACTAAACAAGCTTCCGCCAAGAATCCTTTGCAGCTGCAAACTGTAGACATAAAATTGAATTAACCTTGTGTTTTTTAAATCAGGTTTCTAAATTTTCAAACTAGTGAACTGCATCCAAGCTTGGGTTTAGAGACAAAGGGATGAAGTGCATGGTATCTCAGGTAAGATTTATTTTCAGTGTTTAATTTTCACTCAAGCGTATTTCTTTGGTTCCTTATGTGATACAGCTTTTTAAGTAACCTTATTTTTATACATAAATATATTTATAAATTGGGAGTCTGTGTATTGATTCTTCCGTTTTACAGTGCTCGATACGTAGAAGTAGAGCGCGATATATTTTGCGATAGGGGAAAAAAACAGAAAGACTCAAGGTATACTCTTCAAAGTATAGTCTCTCTGTTTTTTCCCCTATCGCAACATATATATATATATATATATATATATATATATATATATATATATATATATATATATGAATTGATGACTGAATGAAAGCATAAATGAATGAAAACTTCATATAGCCATGATATCCATCATTACTAAGGAGTGCTCTCTTAGGGAGCCGTGTAATACAACTGTGATTTAAGTAGCACTATGATAACCTAAAGAGTTCATTTGTCTAACAAACTATCATTAACATATCTTACAGTGAATCGTATTCTAAACTTTATTGCATACAAATTATTTTAACTAGTGGCCTGCTTAGCACAGTTTTTGACGGAATGTATACAAAACTTTTTTTGCATGAATGCGTGTTTATTATTTCATATCTGCAGTTGTTGTTAAATTTCTCATTTTAATTTATTAAGGGGGGTGAATAGGAAAACGGATCTGCGAAATCCCACAGTAGATTTGCCCGGATTTTGGATTTATGGCGAACTTTTAACAGATTCGCTGATCCTGTAGCGGTTTCTGGTTTCATCGATTTTGGGCCCTCATTTTGGATTTTACTTATGACGAAGTTCGGATCGTGGATCTCAGCGTCAGAAATGTAACAGTTTTTTTTTTCTGGTTTTGTTTGGATGTGCGTTACTGTAGTATTTTTTTTTGTCACGGACAACACTCACCGAATGTCACACAATCGGGAAATAGTAACGCGCTATGGTTAGGAACCTGTGACATGCTGCCAGCGGGACGTGTTGTCTTCGGGTTCTTGTCAGTTTGGGTTGTATTACAATCATATTACTGGGTCGTACGTGGTACGTTTTCCCTAAGAAATTAATACTAAACCAGTGAGCAGAACTCTGCGAACAGTTGTTGTAAAACTTGTTTTATTCTCCGACGCGTTTCGTTTAACTGTCGAAGACTTCAGTCTTCAGGGAGTTTTACAAGTAAAAACTCAACGCCTCTATTTAGTAAACAGCTGTTTGCGAAGTGCTGCTCTCTAGTTTAGTGTTAAAAAGGTTACGAAATATTAAGGTACGTTTATTTTTACAAATCCCCGTGTCACTTAGCAAACGGATTCGGGTTTAACACTTTTTTTAAACGGATCGATAACAGCCTATCTGTGGATTTGCATACCCTTATTCACCCCCCTCCCCCTCTTTATTTGTAGCTATGTATTTTTTAGGGGTATATACTTAATAATATGACTAATTGTATAGAATTCTGCTGTTAGTTGATAAACCTGGTCAAACGATGTTAAGTTTGATATAGTTGCCCTATCCATAAATTCAAACAGTCTTGGTATTATTGATGCGTTTATTGCAAAATAAATAAATAAATAAATGAATGACATCAAATTTAGCTTCAATAACGTGTACGCCTAAAATACAAACAGATAAAATGACAAAGAACTACCCGTTCAAAATTTTTTATGTGCAGAAGCGAAAATAGAAAGTATCTATATTTTTACTCGTTTTTATCGATGAAAGCTTAAAAAAAGACGTAGCTGAAGAAGGCTAATGAACAGTCTTGAAACAACATTTTCAGAATACCACAGCAGATTATATATGCGACGACATTATCCAGTTCCATGCACTTCTAGTTCCAGTGTGTTCCTCCAAGAAGCTATCTTGTTGCTCCGGAGTAGCATTGTTGAATTGTCGTTCAATCAATGCCTCGAAACTAGCTTTCACTCATGTTCTTCTTTTCGCTTGTTCAATGTTCAATAGAGACTTTCAGAAACTTTGAGATGTTAATCCAGTGGCCCCTTTGGTGCGGCCGCTTTGATTCCCCATTGAAAAAGCATCTTTTTTGTCATTACAGTATTGGGACAACGACAGACATGGGCTGGAGATTCTGTCAGTGTTAAGTTCTTGCCATTAGACATTTGCCCTAGCGATTTGCCAGCGTTTTTTGGTACTTCACTCCCTCAGAAGCTTCTTTTAAGCAGTACAAGAGAAGGCTTTTCTGTGATCTCACTCGCAAATTCACCTGGAATTCAGCTGTGTACATTCTATCGCAGCTTGTCATCCTACTACGTTTGTCTGCTTTGATTCTGGTCCGTGTTGTCAACGAAATACTTGCATCTGGTGGCATCCAAACAGCTTTTGTTTTGACCAAGGTCCGCCATCAGAAGATTCGCCTTCATATGTATTCAAGAGAAATCTCAATGAAAGTTTCTCGGTATACATAAATAGTTGCTGAATGCTTTGGACGGACCTCTGTCGTTTGATCTAAATCTTTGGCTTTCATCTAAAACAAAATCTGCGTCAAAATTTGCGGTGGACTTTGAAACATCGGATTTAAATGAGGGAAGAAGCACATCAAAAGGAAGCAACTTCTAATTTAAATAGGACAAAATGGTGAAGAATGGAAATTGATAGGGATTAAAAACGACACAGTTTTATGAATTTGCTCTTATTAGTTAACATGCGCAAAAAAGACTGTCTTTTAGGAATTGCTATTTTAACCCTTTACTCCCTAGATCTGATTTTTAAATTCTCCCCACAAGCTGCGACACATTTTTTTTCTAATTAAGCGCGAGAATTTGGTGCTTGATCAAGACAGGAGAGATCAAGATAACAAATTCTACCTGATAAGTTTGAGTACTCTCATTGCCTGTTTGCTGGGTAATATGTGGATATCACAAAGATAAATTACATGTTCTTACTTCATGGAGTTGAAGGGTTAAAATGTTTATGTGTGGGAGTGGAAAGGGTGTCATAACAGCTGACGTTCACCCGAAGGTGTTCGACTTGTCATTTACTCAGTTGATGCCGGTCCAGGTTTACTATCAATGTCATTGTTTCTTTTCCTTTCTACCTGTCACTGCCCCAAATCGCAATAAGGTTTTTAGAATCTCCGAGAGAATAGTTTACATTAGTAAGTGGAAAATATTCCTGTGCCTCTTACGAAGCCACCGTCAGCAGAAACAAAAAATAGTTCTAACACTTTGAATTACGACGAACTCATTCTATCTATAGATGGCTTGTAGTAGCGGTTGAACACACATCAGCATATTACACGCATATGTGATGAATCTAGGCTCATTTGGTTACCCATGTCTTTTAATGCTGCGGCTCTAAGCCACTCTTCATTCTCTTTTTGGATATAAGGTACTCTATTGTTACCCTTATGTTACTATGTATGTTCTAGGTTTTCCTTGAATAATCCAGTATCTCTCCATTGATCACTTTTTGTTGTGTTAAATTTAATTTATTTCATCTTTTTACAAATTTGGTAACGAATTTCCAAGATAAATACTCCTTAGAACCTATTTTGCCACTGTCATGTAAATTTGCCTGCAGTTACTTCAACAATATTCCTTCAATTCACCGATAGTGCAACCCTCTATACAACACTCCTCAACAATATTAACAGTTCTAACTGAACGTGCTTTTCGTAGACTTCTATTGCTTTCAGAATGTATAAAACTTAGTGCCTCCTTTTCTTCCATCAAAGGCGATCCTGAAAATGCAACAAATTAGGCGATCATGTTTAGTGATTGAGAATTTCAGGCCACAAAAGAAACAATAAGATTCTCTTACTACGTTTCCTCTTTCCAACAGATTCGTCAATACACACTTTTGTGTAGACTTCTTTGATATGATCGCCACAGATATGGGCATCAATTCGCCTAGATCCAACTTCATACGCCTTGACAAGTTTAGACCCTATCAAGACAAAATTGTTGTATGAATTGGAATTAAGCGCTTTTCAATCGAGTGTTGTAAATCCAAAATCGTGTCATCACTCAGGCGAATTATATAATGGTGAAAAAGGTGATCAATAACGAAGGAGGATGGAAAAAAGAACAAATAATTTCTCACACTCCAACTTTGTTACCTGTAACAGCCTCAAGACTTAAAACAATAGCCAGGAATGGCACAATGGTCCAAAGTAACGATTCCTTCATCTGAAAGAAGAACCGAAAGCACAACATTTCCTTTCAGTTCTTGTATGCTCACAGGTGGTCTTAGTCTCAGTCCTCATTTTATTTAAAACTCGTTGGTCTCTACACTATTTTTCCTCCCTTAACCCCCTCCCCCACCCGAACTTAATCATAAAAACTGTTGCAGTATAAGCTGACTTACCTTGATGATAAAACTTTGTCGGTTTTCCTTTTATAGAAGTAACCTCATTATCTTGGTTGATTCAACCTTCACTTTGTTTGATTCCACGACAAACTTAAGTTCAGTCACTGATTTTTCGGGTGTCTTAGATTTTTTCTCTTACCTCTGACTGTTATGATCAGCACTGATTAGGGTGTTTTTAATCATCGTGCGTCTGAAACTTATATGACGAGTGATTGTGAATAAATGAGAGGGGAGTGAAAATAAATCCTATGTTTTTCAATCTGATTATTTCAGGGCGGGCGTCCGCAGAAGTACAGGCGATGTTTTCCATTTCTATTGTTTACCTACTAGCCTACGTGTAGGTTTGCGTAGGCGTTCCCTCGCTTCCGTTTCACCTGGGGGGGGGGGGGGGGGGGGAGGGTAAGGCTACACGTAGGCTATTTACCTATTTAAATGTTCCGTTGTCCATTTAGAATTCTTTTGTTAACTACTCTTCGGCTGAAATACCATGAAAGGCCACGGAAAGGAGGATATGAGGCTAACAGACCTCTTCTTTTTTCTGTCAAAAACCGTGGAATTTGAAAACTAAAATGTTACAGCGAACGGCAAGTATCTGGTATTGAAAGCTTTCAAACCGAAACCAGATTCTGTATGAAACAATCATTCAAGCAGCAACCGGTGTGATAAACACCATAATATTAATTTTTTGTCTTCACTAAAATTGAATAGTTTTTAAATTTCAAAATTAATTTCGGATGCAAATTTTTATCATTTGAAAAGATATTAAGAAGCTTCAAGATTAAAACCTAATTTAAACATTGAGATCAAAGGAATAAGACCTGCAGCTGGGAAAATAACAGAGGAAGGTATTGATTGTTTTCATATCACCGATGCCGCAAATTTCATTGCAAATCTTTGTAACCGCTAATTTGTGATGTTAAGCTTCATGAGAGGAGTTTTTAAAACGTTGAGGTACTCGTTAACAAGTATTTGTTATAACAGCTCGAGTGTAACTAAAGAAAGATGACATGGATATGTCTTCCACAGTATTTCCCGTTCCTTAAGTCAATATGCTTTATTATTTAAAAAATAGTTTGCGGAGTTGTTATTCCTTTTTTTTACCAAAGGCCTTATTATGATACTCTTCACATGTTGGTGCTTCTAACTAGCAACTGAATTATGGCGATGCAATCTGGTGTGATGTTAAAGGAAATGTGACTGGTACAAGGAATTGTAACAATTTATTCACTTTTTCGTTTGCCTTTACCTTTTGTCTACTGCTAAGATGATACTACTTTCGAAGTTACGAATAAGATAAAATTACCATTTTGAAAATCAACAATGCTGGGTTTCGAATAATGTGTCGAAGTACTAATCGGAAGGTCGTACTGGGTCGACCCCTATTGGAGGTACTCAGAGTTCTTTTTCTCCGAGTATGCCAGTGTCATTCATTGAATAACATCATCTTTCAATTCAGCTCTCGCACTTAATTTCAACTCGTTACAGCGCATCTTACTCACCGTATGTTGTATTCTCGGTATTGGTGGCACTGGGCCTCCCAAAAAGCAGTTTAACTTGGTGCGTCAAAACAAGCTTCTCTTTTTTACTCCCGGGTAGATATAAAGAAATTTGTTTTGGCCGTGTCGAGTTTTATTCTAGTTTAATTGGATAACACCTGTCTGAGAAAAACAAAAGGTCTTATGATATTCAAACTAATTTCCCCAAACGGCTTTTGTTCGTTAAATTCGCTTCCGTTGCGCACCATTTTGCTGCTATTTTTCGTCTGTCAACACAGATAGCAAATTCTTTGAGGCCATTCGCGCTCCTGCGGGCGGAATACTATACGAAAGCTTTTCTATTTGATCACCTGCATTGTACAAAATGCGAATCAAATGGTGAAAATAAACACTTAACAAGTAAAATAAATGTATCAAGTGGGGAAAATAGCGAAGAAAAACTTAGACCAACCGCCGACAGTTTTTCATTTTTTACGTTGGGAAATAACATGATATCGTCTTGTTTATCGTCTATTCTTCCTCCAGAGTGCTCAAAAAAATGCAGACGGACGGATGAATTCAGTGATCTCTAGATAAAAAAGCCTGATATTCCTCCCGTAAAAATTGGTTTGTAAAATGTCTTGGTAACTTTTTGACTTCCTTTGAAGGGAAGTCGAACAGCTACCAAGGAAAAAACAGTTCAATCCACGCCTTTGTAAAGTAAATACTTGTATAACTGAATAAAAACGCTGTCGTGTATACTGTCTACACGACAGCGTTTTTTAATCAGTTACACAATGTAACTGACGCCAACTATATCCGCCCAATATTTTATTTTTAACTGTTTTGAATAAAAAACAAAACTACACAAGAAACAAGACTTCTAACGCCACTAGACTCCCTCGTTTTGGAAAGATCTGTTTTTAAATTTATTTATAAAACGGAATTTGGGGACGTTCTTGATCTACGAATACTGTTAAGAGCAATTATTAAAGAATAAGAACGCTTATTAAAGATTTAAGAATTTTTATGTGAATGAAGGTTGGAATTTTCCATACTACCGAAATAATGAAACAACGCTTTTTGTCGAGTATCGGTGAATTGAATAGCTAAATTGTCTGTATTCCGTTAAGATTCTTAAGTAGCATTTTTGTTTCGTTTATTTCCTTGTTTCTTTTTTTTTTCTACCACTCTACAAAACCTCTGTTCGCGAGTCGGGTCTATTTTTGTAAAATTTTCGGGGAAAATAGGGCCACACTGGAATCGACCTACAAGTAATGTTTTCTTTTTGTCCATCAATGCCGATTGTGTAAGCCAAGCGATAGACTTTCAGAGAAAGTCAAACAGCTGGTGTGCCCCTCTTTCTGGAACACGTGGGAGCTATGAGGCTTTAGGAACAGTGTAAATACAATCATGGACAGACATGTTGAGATACTTTGAGCGAAAATTCACCCTTCTGCGAGTAATGCGTTCTTTTCCCTTTGCGGTTTTCCCTCTTTCCCTCTCCCTTACACACACGCGCACAAGCACAGTCACTCACCTTTACAGTGTCGATTTAATCTCTGATTATTGCCTTCGCTGTTAACATTGACTAGGGGGAGGGGAAGGAGACCAGTTACCTTTTAAGTAGCGCACATGTAAAAAATGCGAACGTAGTTTTTAGCATTTGCTTTGAAGGTGTCCTAAAGTCTTTTAGTAGGATTTCAGTTGTGATAGTGATTGGGCCCAGCTGTTGGGAGTCATTACTATACTCGTGATGCTTACCTGACACAGCTGTGTATATTATCCGCATATAGTTACCACGGGATAAGAAATATTCTGTTTTCAGAAAAACCCGGTACTTATATTCGGGTATCAAGGAATAGTTTCTTAGTGACGTCCATTGTTTTGGCTTATACAGCTAACGAAAAACGGAAATATTTCTGAAAACTTACTGCCTTTCATCTCCCTAGTGCCGCAGGTAGCGTCCTGAATATTAAGTCTAAATATTTGATTCTCCCAAGAAGAGGCAAATGAATGAGGAGTCTGGCTAAAGGGGCATTATACAGTAAGTGAACCTGTTCAGCCAAATTGTGAAAAGGAGAGATTTCAAAAAAACCCTGCCTGATAGGGTCTCTAATGAAGGTTGGGTGGAAAATTTAATCAAATTTTTTTGAGAGTGAGAAAGGAAAAAAGGGTTGTCAACAGTGTGTGGCAGTCTTATGGCAACCTTACCTTAAGTGTAAACAACTGCGTAGCAAAGTGAGTAAAAGTAGCTCCTCATTTATAATTGCCCTTCATAAAAGAATAATAATAATAAAAAAGAACGCATTTGAAAACGTCTATCAAAAAAAATTAATTTACGACAAGTTTACTTATTTGGCATGACCCAGTATGCCGGCATCATTTAGAACCTAAGGTTGGAAATAGAACATCCATCAATTATTGTCAACTTTTGCTAACATAACAGTGCCCTTTTGTCATAGAAATAGTCAAATTTTATCTCTCAGTAGTAAGAAGTATGCTGATGTAAATTTAGTTGAAGGGCAATTAAGAGGTTTTTTGGAGTTAGCGTGTTCAGGAACCCATGACTCCTGAAGTTTTTCTATAGGGTACCACTTTCTCTATTTGGGGGAGGGAGCCAGGAACGGATTTGTCTCATTTATATTTGGCCTAGTTTATTTTGTGCATTTTGTAATGACATATTTTTGCGTGGCAAGTTTATAGGGAAAGTGACATGACAAATATCATGGCAGTGGCTACAGACGAGCAGACAGTTTGAAACAGCATATGACAATACCTTTTTGGAGGAAAGCACTTATGATATTTCAAATAGCGCAAGATTTCGATTTTATGTTCGCTCGATAGATAGATTTATCTTGGTGTGAAGTCAAATAAGTAGGGATCAGACCCACTGTCGTTCTTGATCTCCATGCACTGTAGAGCAATTCAATTATACTTTAAGCCTAAGTTTATCTTTTCTTGCAGATAGAGAGTTTATCTGAGCCGGCTTCTGACAAGGGTTTGCTCTTTTTTATCTCTGTCGACAAAAGGGAAACAAAAATTTTGTTATTATCAACAAAAACCTGCATAGTATTCGATCAAGAGCGTGGCGAATCACTTTGCCCTTTATTGAAAAGGAAAAAAAAGGAGATACTGTAAACACCTGTTCTGTGCGGAAATTTAAAACGCCAAGAGATACAATGATATGTTTTCCTGATGTTTACTTGGTATTATTGCCCAAAGTGAAACGATTTCACAAAGGTAGGGCGTGTGCGTTTGTCGGATATCTCGAGAGCAATCGTTGCCGATACCCTTAACAATTTTAATTTCTTTGTTTCTCGTGCCTATTTTCCAAACAATCAAAGAAACAACCAATTACAATTTAAGTCCAGGATAGAGGGATTTTCCCTCTAAACAAAAGTATATTTTGATGTAAATTGAAACAATTCAAAGAGCAATTTTCACTTAATAACCTAACTTTTATGATCTCGTAATCTTAGTCAGTTTACAAATCTAATCTTTGGTTTATCGTCATTTCACGCCTAAACGACGACTTAACTGTACAAATACATCGTAATATATAACATACAACCGATCCACAACATATAAACTGGAAATTTCAATGTAAAAGTGATTGCTGGCGAAGGCTTGCCAGCAATAAGTTGGATTTATTTTGAATAGTCAGTCAAGTTAGGTATTGTCAGCAATGTTCGAAGATTTTTTCCAAGTTGCATCCCTCAGCGCAGCACTCCTGCACAATATTTGCACTGCGGGCGCTTCTTGCAGGGCTTCTGGTATGTCTTGAGGACCGTTTGAAGTGTAAAGCGTGGTTTTCGTCCATTCCTGCTAATCCTAACGACATCAGGAAAACGACAGTTAGCTAAACGGCAAAAGTCAAGCAAGATTAACATCTACTTGGCTCTTTTAAAATAAATTTATAAAATGATTCAAATAGTACGCGCGCTCCGATTGGCCATAAAACCATGTTACATGAGCGTATGTAAACATGGTTTTCGTTCCTCTTTCATTAGTTATTTCATAAAAGAAATGTAAAATGGTTTCCGTGTTTACATAGCCTGATGTAAACACTTGGGAGGTTGGGAGAACACTCAATAAGCTGGAAACCACTCCGCTACGACGCGAAGCGGAGTGGTTTCCAGCTTATCGAGTGTTCTCCCAACCTCCCAAGTGTTTACATCAGGCTATGTAAACACGGAAACCATTTTACATTTCTTCATTATAAGTGATGTATCAATTTTTATTATAACTGCGCCTACCGAATCCGACGACGCGGAAGAATTGCTGATTAGCAACCTTCAAATGTTGTTTTAAAACTACTCCTGTTAAATCTGCTAGTGTTCTATCACTTGTGCTGAAATGTGCGCCTCTCTCTATCTATTTTGTGATAGATGGTGAGTAATGTGAGTAGCCTGACAGTTTGCGGTTGTTAACAAAATAATAATTAAAAAAATGTAATAGAGATGTAAGCCCTAAGCCATCACGCGAGAGATATCTCAAGCTCATGATCTAATTTTTTATTAGAAAAAAAAATCGATATCCACTTACAGCGTCTCGTTTGCGGTTGACAGATCATGCCTCTTACAATAATGATATGCTTTCCAAACTATTTAGAATATTGGGCGACGTCCTTTCTCATATGCTTTAAATCCGTAGTTTTCAAAGACTCCTGTCAACTTGCATCCCTCATTACAGCACTCCTCCACAGATTTCTACTGGTGTCTTCTGTAAAATTGGGACTGAAGGAAGCTTAAAGCTTCGTTTCTGTCCATTATTGGTGATCCTAACGACGTCAGAAATATGAGAGTTGGCTAAACGGATAAACTCTTGCGCAATAAAGATTAGCCGTTTTTAGTGATTAGCAATTAGCTTCATGCAGCCTAAAATCGCCCAAATACTTAGACGCTATCAAAACACAATTTTTTTTTATGAATTGGAACTGAGAGCTCAGTTCTGGCGAATTACATTTTACAATGGCGGAAAGGTGATCAGTAACGAAAGAAGGATGGAAGAAAGGCGCTTATAGTATCTCGTTACTTGTACAGTCAGCTGTAACAGCTTAAAGACTTAAAACAAAAGCCAGGAGAGGCACAGTGATCCAAAGAAAGGAACCCTCCATCTGAAAGAAGAACAGAAAGCACATTTCTTTTCCTTTTATTTGCTTTCACTCCAAGTAGTTAAGTCTCAACCGTTATGTCACTAATAACTCGTTGGACACGCCTAGCGTAGAAACGAGTAAATGTGAACGACTCGGTTTGTAAATATGTCACTCGCTTACTCTATCGAGGCCTGTGACGCCATTAAGAGGGTTGCTTACTGGAGTAAGCGAGTCAAAGGTTTTTCATCTGAAGGCAACACACTTCTAAATTTTTTTCTTTTTTTTATACCTTGTGATATGCAATACCAAACTACGATAATGAAAACTTTTTTCTTTGACGCGAAACATCGAGATGACGGGTAAATTGATAGGCCTTGGTTTAAGACCATCTCTCACACGAACGGTTGATTGAAATTAAACGATAAAATTGATAAAAAGTGGACTGTGTTACCGCATATGAATTTTGATCGCAAGCTAAAAATGAATTTCCGAAAACAGGATATATCTCTAATTCCAAAACCTTCTTTTCCTTCTCTTTTGCATTTTATGCTTTTTGTTTTTAACATTTTAAAGCTCAGACTCTAAATGTTCAATGTCTCCTTCAAACTAATAGTTATTATGTTAGTAATGACCGTGTCATGATGCCTGACTGTTTTTGCTGTAAAGGTACCGGGTGACGTGGCCTTGTGACGTATGTCGAGGAAAGGAACCTAAGATTTGGGTTTGATTAACTCTCCCTCCGAACTGGCGACTGAAAATGAAAGTCACTGAATATTAAACTACACACAGGAACTTTATATCAGTAAAAAAAAACGTCCTTTTGCTGATTATCATCAGGTAACTACTAGTGAAACTATTACAGGGCCAAAAAGCTTTTAACTCGCTACTTCAAAACGAGCGTCGCTTTTTGCTCCCGTATAGAGTTAAAGAAATCTGCTTTGGTTGAGTTCTATAAAATTTTGTATGAAAAAGAGCTGTCTGAGATACAAAAAGGTCTTATGGTGTTCAAACTAATTTCCACAAACTGTTTCTGTTCGTTTGTACTTTTTTAAATATAAATATATTTCTTGGACATTTTTTTTTCGCAATTTATTGATAGCTTCTGGTACCACGCGATTACTGGTAACCCCGACAAATTTGCATTTTGACTTTGTGCATGTTCTGCGATTTGTCCTAAATTTTTATTCCTGAAGAAAACCTAAAGAGTAAAGCTTTCATTAAAAATTGGGCAAAGAAGAGAAAAACAGGCGGGATTGTGCATCAAGGAAACCCTGATGCAACTGTGATGGAAGTTGAAAATGTCATGAATAAAATGTTTTACCCCGAAATGTAAATATAAAATTTTTCTTTAAAGTTACGTAACTTACAGGATATCTTGGTTTGTAACACGTTCTCTTCGCCCTACCATGGAGCAAAAGTAGGTCTGCAAACTGGTAGGTGTTCAAACTGTTTTCCTTAAACGGTTACTGTTCGTTAAACTCGCTTCCCTTACGCGCCATCGTACTGCTATTATCTTTTGTTACCATGGGAGACAGTTCATTTGCGCTCCAGCGGGCGGAATACTATACGAAAGCTTTTCTCTTTAATCAGCTGCACTGTACAAAGTGCGAATTAATTGATGAAACTAAACACTTCGCAAGCCACCTACACTTTATTAGTCGTGGTTTTGGGGGAAAACATAATGTCGTCTGGTTTATCCCCTCGTCTTCCTCCACAATACTTCTGGAACTGTAGACGGACGGATGAATTTGGTGATCTTTAAACGACTGAGTCTGATATTTAACCCGTAAAAATTTGGCTTGTAGGATGTTTGTTGATGTATTGTCTTATCTGGTTATTTCTCAGGAAAAAGACCAATCCACACCTTTGTTAAGTAATTATTTGTATTGTAAGCTGTGCGCTGCAATACCGGGAATTTCCGCACATTCATAGCCTGTTTGTCCTATCTATACACTACTTTTCACTCGCCTTGTTTTGTTTCCGTTTAGCTTTGGAATACTTTGGTTTAACAAAAAAAAACTTTCGAAGGTTTGGTTACCCAGTTAAATAGTAATTGAATGGCAAAGTCATTGAGTTTGTACACCACCCCCGGATTGGCTTGAAGTAAAACAAAACAAAAAAATGCTGATGTGTATGCGGGGGTTAACTGACGTTAGCCACATCCGTCACCTATTTTGTTTCTAAAGGATTTTAAATAAAAAAACATAACTTTACAATAAACGAGACGTACAACACCACTAGACTGTAGAGGGAAAGCCCTTTGTCACTCGTTTGGAAAGTACTATAGTTAAAGTTATTTTTAAAGCGGAAAGCTTTTCTGAAAAATGATATTAAGGTTAAATTTTATTCAGACAAAATTTGGAACGCTCTTGATCGAGATGCCAGTTTGCAAGAATACTAAAGCAATTGTTAAAGAATAGGAACGCTCACAGGATTGAGGAATTTTATGTGAACAAAAGTTGGAGTTTTCCTTATGTGGCCCTCTCCCTAGAACACGGGAACCCGAAAGGGCTTTAGGAACAGTGTAACTGCACAATCCTGGGCATAATTTTTAAGACCCTTCGTGTGAATGTTCGCCTTTATGCAGGTAATGCGTTCTCTTTTCTTCCCAGTCTTCTCCC